GGTTAAAGATACTTTTTCTAACATCCTTAACGATATCTCAGAATGGGCTCATAGCACCGGAGCGAATATATCTTATGAAAAATGTAAAACTTTACATATATGTAAAAAGAGAAATTGCTCAAATTTTAGCTTATCTTTTATGAATAAAAATATAGAAAATGTTTCTAATTTAAAAATTGTAGGAATAATATTTGATAAAACTCTTAGTTTTAAGGAACATTGAATAATCTAAAAGGAAAAGGAAAACTCCACCAAAGGTTGAATATTATAAAATATTTTGTTTCTAAACATAGTAATTGTAATCAAACTACTTTAATTAATCTAACTAAGTCCTTCTATAAGTTCTATCTGTTATCGACTATGGTCTACCATTATATGAGTACGATGCAAAAAGTACCCTCGCAAACATTTCGGCAATTTACCACGCAGCAGTGCGGAAAAGTCTTTGCGCTTTTCCAACAACACCAATCAAAAATATTTTAGCTGAATCTGGACTCTCTGAACTTAAAGATCGCACCACCTATGGTACCGCCCGACTTATTCCAAAGTTTTTTGTGTCTAATAATCCGATATTGAAAAACGATATAAAAAGGGCCCTGAACAGGAAACGAATCCTAAGGCGGCCATCAACAATATGTAGACTCGCTCTGCTATCCAAAGACGTCGAAATTCCGTTAAAACCAACTCTGGTCAGAATACCTCATAGCCAAACCGAATATATATTATCGTCAGGCCGATAACCTTCGTTGCTAGTGCCTTTAAACTGTAATATAATTATTTATAACTAACTTTCTGGTAAATAAATAAATAAATAAAAATGTTAATCTCAATTTTACACTTTAAGTCTCTAATATAAGTACGAACAAGTTTTAAATTTGAGTTTTTTTTGTTCTCTCGTTTATTTATTTTACAACTCAGCACTTTTATTTACATTTGTTGAGTTTATTTCAATTATTTTTCAACTGCTTAGCTGATTAAGACGAGTATTTGTGTAGGTAATATATATTTTGCCGGCATTTACAAATGTTTGTTGTTACTTTTGGTATTATATTTAGTTTATTATTTATCTATATAATTACACGTGTGTATGCTTGCTCTTCTTAACAGATCTAAGGTATCTTCTGTATACTTTTTTATTTCTTTATTTATTACGAAGTCGCTTGCAAATAATTACGCAAGCAAATAAATAATAGAATAACCTTGAGAAAGCTGTTCTTGCTATCTAAATTGCATTGAGAGGTTGAAAATGAAAACTATTTTAACTTTTTTGTGCAAAGTATGAGATTATTATTCATCACTCGAGAGTGATACGCCGACAATAGAGATCTTTCAACCTTCCTTAACATTTCTGTAGACCTTAGTCTCGCCGATTCAGTGTAAATAAAACAGTTGCAAACTAAATTTCTTTCGCATTTAATGAGGTTTCAGAACAGAAAAGATCGCTGCAGGTTAAATTCAGAGATCGCGTTGGATGCGGAAGCAATTGATAATACAACTTCGAAATCAGTTTCATTGACTTATGTAGAGATTGGTTTATGAGCTTCTGACCCCCACTTTGAGTTTTCAGTTGCGAAAGAGAGAGTAGCGCTAAAGATGAAGAGAGTAAAGATAAGGGGTAATAAAATTGAGAGAGCGAGAAGAAAGTATAGGTATAATTAAAAACTTTAATTTTGGTATTTTTTTGTTTTTTAATTTATGAGAAATTAAGAAGAATTTATAGGTATATAAGTACAAGTACAGTGCTTACAAAAATTAATACTTTAACTAATATCAATTTGAAATATTGTGTGTTCAGAGCTACTAAATTGTCCCTGTGGTACATACAATTGGTTTCAAACTTTTTTGTACAAGTACGTTTAGGACGACTACTGATTTATTCGCAATTGTTTTTGAATGACAGGGATGCGAAAAAATTAAAGCTCATACGTAATTATTAATAATTTTCAAGGACAGAAAAGGAATTAATGATTTAAAATACTAATGATTAATATTTGCGTTATGAACTTTCTTGTAAAAGCTCCAGTAAGAAAAACCATAAAACAAAATACATTAAAATTAACACACAAAAGCATAATCAAATATTTATACTCTGAACAGGGTATATTTTAAATTTGCCACAAAGTTTGTAACACCCAGAAGAAAACGTCGGAGACCCTATCAAATATATACATAATGATGAGCTGAACTGATTTAGCCATGTTCGTCTGTCTGTCTGTCTATATATACGCGAACTAGTCCCTCAGGTTTTAAGCTATCGACCTAAATTTGAAATTTTGTACCTGTCCTTTCCTCACTAAGAAGCTGCTAATTGGTCGGTACGGCCAATATCGAACCAATATAGCATATAGCTGCCATATTAACTGAACGATCGGAATAAAGCGCTTGCATAGAAAACTTTGGCAATTTAATATGAGAGCAAATGCAGGTAATTGTCGGATTCAAGTTGTCGGACTCCTGTCGCTTGTGTGAAAGCAATGAGCGATAACAAAATACAAAACTTGCTGATAACACAGGTCAAAAACTCATTTTTTTTCGCATGGCTTTTACTTAGTATATTCTGGTTATATTAGCAAATATATATGGGAATGAACGACTAAAAATCGATAATATTTGCTTTTTAAACAAATTATAGTGATTTGCCCATTTTTGATTTTCGCGTCCATATAATTTCAATTAAAAGATATATATTTCCGGTAAATTTATATAGAAAAACTCTTATTTTCTTTACCTGTTGAAACTCAGGACAAAAGATGGGCTTCACATGTGTCATAGCTAGAGTTCTATGATATATTTATATGATATATATTCTGTATAGTGAGTTTATTAACTCTTTTTTTTATAATAAAGATTAACTATTTCGATAATATTAATTAGGTTTAATATGTTACGTTTAATTCTAAATTGGTGCCGACGTAAAAAAAAAGCACTTAAGTTTGCAGTGCCGAATATTTGGAAGGAACCAGTTGATCATCACTCACACTGTTATGTTTGCATTCTTAATACACTCAAGACTAAAAATTCAAAGAAAATATTTTATCCTGATCTGTCATCGACATTCGCTTCAATACTATATACGGACAATAATGCCGACTACTCTTTTACAAGTAATGGTTCTGGTAATTGTAAGTGTGTGTGACACTGAGTATTAAATACAAATTACAATACTATGCGTGTTTTTATTTACAAGGCATTTTACGTTTATGTTCTTATATGTATAACAGCAACTAAGTAATTAAGTTAATTAACATGTACTTATCTTAGAATACCTTTTTGTCATTTTGTCACTGCATAACAACTTGTTTTAGCCTATTTTAATTAATTTCAACTTTAAAATTGATTTCTAGATTACATTCATTTTATATTCATTTGAGTATATCTGTAATTTTTACCTTAAAACAACTCTCACTTACTTAATCTTATTATAATATTTACATACATCTTTGTTATTTTTGTCGTTGTACTCAAAAACTTACCACATCTAATTTTTTTGGCGAAATGCGCTGCGCAGGCGAAACATAGTGCGCTTGTTGTAAAATTTGGTATTAAAAAAAAAAAAATTATCAAATTAAAGTATTTTGTTTACAATAACTTTTTTGGTTCACAACAACGTTAAAATATTTTTTTTACTTTTTTTCTACATTTTCGACCAATTCTCCATTATTATTACAATCATGCTGCGTTTGTTAAATTTGCCTACATATACATTTATATTTTTTTTTTAAAGGCCTAATTCTGACACAATTTTATAGTACGGAAAATTTAATGAAATCAGGCTTAACTGAATATATATTTAAGTGTATAAAAAAATTTGTTATTTTAATTTTTATACAAAATTTCGAAGTTGGGGCATTCTTCGGAATTATCTCTTTCAATAGGACCGGATTGAGCGAAGGTGGTTACAAAAACTCCTGTTAGCTGAAGCAAAATAATAAAAGGTAACTAAGGCTTGATAGTACAGTCTCTTTTTTGCTTTGTATGCATTTTTTGTAATTTGCGGACTTGTAAAAAAAGTCGTACCCAGTTTATCAAATAATAATACTGTGAAGCTTCATATAAAATTTCTGTTGAAGATTCCATACACGAACTTTATTTTTATTATGCTGTCTGATCAAATTTGAGCCGGACTGACAACAAATTACGTTTTCTCACATTTTAATACAAATCGCCTTCCAAAAAGTTCCAGAGCGAATGCAAGAATGCCAATGCTTAGTTAAATTTTCCATACGCTTGTTTAATGTCACGGCTGGGATGGCCGAATTCTGAAATGAAATTTTTCGGTTTCAGCTTATTTTTGGTGTACCGTTGGCTACACTTTTGTGTACATTGTTGCACAGCTTCAACGTCGTTTTCATACGCCTACACCAGTAATGATGCGTTTGTGTGTACATTGTAAATGTACCAGTCTGGGTCAAATTTGATCGTTATGTATCTTTCTTAAGCGGAACTTAGCTGAATCATTAGTTTAACTTAAACTATTTGCATTGAATTTTTTATAATTGTTTTGCTTTATTGTTGTCAGTAAATTCGGAAACAGCATCAATAATTAAGTATTAGGGTATATTCTCGGAGAAACATAGCATAGCCAATGCTACATAAAAAATGCTGTTATCATATAGGTATATTAATATTTATAAAATACAGATGCACTTTTCTAGTTTTGTTCGTGCGCTTTTTTCTTGTGTACATTTAAAAAGCTTAAAACTAAGCTGGCTGCACTGGCATACATCCACTTAACACTGATTTATTTATTCATTCGTTTTAATATATTCTACACACATGATAACTTTAGTCAATTTATAATTCATTTGAATTTAAATAACTTACAATTACATTGCATAACTATGTACTTAATTAAATAAGGTAATTGATTTGCAAAACTTAAGCTCGATTATACTATTCAGAGCGCTGCTGCTAACTCTACTTCCTATTATAGTTTTATAAAAGCATTGCCTTAAATTTTAAGCATTTAATATTCAATAACATATCAATTTTATTGACGGTTTTTTTTTTTTTTGCGTTACACTTAATATTATTTATCTCTAACTTAATTTTTAACATTTTTAATTTGACTTAATAATTAAATTACAGCACTCTCCTGTACCTGGTTTTGTGTTTACTGTATTTAATGTTGCTTAACCAACTAAAATTAATTTAATATCTGCTACACTCGCGCACAAAGTATTATAAATATCGCCACAGCTACATACCGCAGCAGCGCATGCGTACTAGCTGTTGTACACGCTGCACCATGGATGGCATCGTCGGTATCGGTCAGTGAGTCGGCATCGTGCCTGTTTGTTGCAGACTTTGTATCACTGCGGTAGTTGCTGTGATCGGGAGCTAGAAAGAGGAAACAACAAGTTTGATTGTACTGAAAAATTTTAAATATTTATAAATTTGTTAATAATTTAAACGTTTAAAACTGAACTAAGTTTTAACATAAAAAAACGGTCGTGTGGCACTCGGGGACTGCCGCGGTAAAACTTTTGCAAAACATTTTTTATCAACTTATGCAATTATAATTATTTATTTATTTTTTTATGCAATATTTTTTTTATTTACTTTGATATTACAAGTAATTCAAGTTAAACCTTTTGAGCGTGGTGACCGATAAGAAAACAAATTTTCTTTTATTGAATCAATGAGAAGTTAATATTGTTTAAAGTATAATACAAATATCTTACAATACGTGTGGGTTATTCAGAAATTTTTTTCATTGAAACTTTAGGTTTATGGTAACTGAAATTAGGAACATGAGTTTGAAACTTGATATTCTCTAAATATCTGGAAAGTACCGCCTCAATGGTGGCCCCATATTTTGTTGTGGATCCTTGTGGATCATTATTCATTTTCAAATTAAATTTTTCCGAAAGAAAAGTTGTCAACCCTTCTGATAATTTATCAGCGAAGTTGATGTTGAAATCGCCAGCCAAGATAAGGCCATTGATAATCCGATTGAAATACATAATTTCAATTGTATTGTTTAATTCAAACGAGATACTGTTTCAAAAGGAGAGTTAGCTATTTACCAAAACAATAATAATGTTACTGTTATTATGACTCCGAATGTTGACCAATTGATTTTTGTTAAATAATTTCTATTAAATTCTATATTTTTATTTGCCTATAAAAAAATGGAATCTTGCATATTATTATTTTTGAATCACCCTACTCTTCAATTGAATTTCTCCGCTTAAGATTCGCGAAAATACAACTAAAAGTATGTAACATTTTGCGCATACTTTGTGAAAGTCATTATAGGGATGGCATAAAATTATTGGAGAATCATTGAAATAAGTGCATTGAAGTTAAGGGAGGTACACTATCTTTGATACATAAGATTTAGTAGAAAAATGTTAATACAAACATAAAGAAAAAAATGTAATCCCGGACAACCATTAACATCGACTGCAAAGAATGATCAATTTGAGCGATAAATTATTCGAAAAATTACCCGAATGGACCGCAGACACGGCAAAATAATTCTGTTACACGACAATGCACCTGCACGCAAAGCAAAATCGGTTCAGGATACAATCAAAATACTTGGCTGGGAGCTGCTACACAAACCGCCGTATTCCCCAAACTTCGCCCCCTCCGATTATCATTTATTTTCATCGATGCGACAAGCATTGGCTGAGCAGCACTGCGATTCTTACGCAGAAGTCGCGTAAGAAGAATTGGGTACCTGATTAGTTTGCTTTAACAGACAAAAATTTCTATTGGCACGATATCCACAAATTGACAGAAAGGTGGTGAAATTGTGTAAAAAGCAATGTTCAATACTTTGGATACATTTTTTTTTACTTCCCCATGCAAAATTGGTATTTAATTTTTACAAAAAAACACTCATTTCATACCTGGTAAAAACACGAGATATATTAGTCCAACTAACGTTCTGGTAATGCTACCCGAATGAACTTAAAGTTTGCATTTCAGATAAATTTATAAGCACCATAAAGCTTTGATGGTGGTAAATTTCAATTTATAGTAAATAATCACAACACGCAACCAGATACTCTTTAAATATTGTCTTACAGCTCTCCCTTTCAAGTAAGCATCGACCTTGTCTTACATTCTTAATAACCGGAAAAATGTGGCAGGCAGCCAAATAAAGTCATATATTATTATATTATATATACAGACATTATATAAATATTAACTTTTGTCATTGAGCAACACTTGGTTGCTGCTCAACAATTATTATCAGCAGTCAAATTGCATATATATACAGTGTAAATATTATGAAACGAAACCCATAATAATATCCTTGCGTCAATAAACAGGATATCAACAGCCACACCAGCATCCCTTGTGTAAATAATTTTTAATGTGCTCTCAAGTGGATTTAACCATAAATGCTCAAGTGCGCATAAGAGTAAACACACACTGATATGCCAACATTGTCGAGTCCCTCAGCGACAAAGTAAATGGTCTGTCAGCTTTGAGTGATTGCTGGTCACAATTCAAAAATTTCCTGGGGCATTGACAGTTGTTTGAAATTCAAGTGTGTTGTATGTTGGCAGCTTGCATTTCATATGTTTGTAGTTGTGACAGTTTGTACATGGCTTTAAATATAAAGCTTTGATGCGAGCAGAAATTTATGTGAAACATTCAAAAATATAATATTATTATTATGCGAATTTCATGTGACTGGTAGAAGGCTGATAAAGCCTTAATAGTTGCAGAAGTTGGCAACGTTGTAATACTGAGCATGGTTTTATTAATTATGAAATATAACTGTGCTTGGCTTGGAGAGAAGTACAAAGGATTGCTGTATGTTATTCATTTTTATTCTCGATTTTAGAATATTTATGGAGGAAATGCCTTACACATCGATTATTATTTTCCTAAGCAAGCATTTTTCAAGTAGTTTTCCTTATAGCAGTAGCAAAGGCATTAATATTCATCGCTTGGGAAAATTCAAACAATTCTGGTTTGAGCTAATAGAAACATACATTCACTATCAATTCCATTATCTGTATAAATTTCTGTAGTGGGTTGTATTTCTGCTATGGCAGGCATATACTCCTCAATCGAAAATAATTATATTTGATGAGTCTCCAAAATTCTTAATCTTATATGGGAAATAAGGTATTGCTTTTGTACATACAGCTACTGTTGCTAATGACTTCTTTCTTAAATTTTGCCATCAAAACCTGTAAAATCTAGTATCATGGCTGATAGGAGGACAGCCTTAGTAAATGAACTCTATAAATCATTAATTTCAAGGTGTAGTGAAGATTTGCTGGAAATTCTCTTAGCTGTGTCCTCCTCGCGGGTGCTGACTAGGCAATGGACGACGCTGCTATCACCGTTACGGCTTGTCAGCTGGCCAGCACCGGGAAATGCGGTCAGGCGGCGGTTAGCTAAGTCAGAGATACGATATATTCATCCTGCTTTTCCTGGCAAATTTTTATTTCTATACGAAACTAGCGGAAGGATATGTTTAGCTACTTCTGCCATTGCTACTCAGTTATTTGCCGGTAGGTATAATATACTAGGAGTAGAGGTAGCGGCCATACCTCTGGTGTGAAATGACTCGTTCACAGCGGTTGTAGTAATACTGCCAAACACGATTTACAACGTTGGGCTGCTGCTTTGGTGAATAGGTCCCGGGCAAAATCCAACAAGCTTAGCTTAAAGGCGAAAGCTATATACTGAGCTGCGGTCAAAGTTCATGAAAGACTTAGCTGCAAGTTGAACTTAATCGTGGCGATCGTTGACCGGAGCAACCCCCTCGGTTAGATTACGTACAAGCAGTGAAAGCAGTGGAACTGCTGCTAGATGCGCTATTCTAAAATATTAGGACAACCGCTCCGTGCTATGGATAAAGGAAGTTGCTGTGAAACTTCAAGGCCTATGAGAGGGAGTCTTGGAGATAATGGACCGAAGCTGTAACACGACTATTTTGAAAGCAAAAGTACTCATATCTCGCACGGTTAAACAGAAGGATGCCGCGCAACTTCTTAAAAAGCAAAACCCGAATGTGCCTACGGATGATTAAAGGGTGTTGAAGTTCACCAACTCCGACAAAGAGTATCGTAGCTGGAACGACACCTTTCGTATAAACAAGTCGGCCGATGGCATTTTGTATGGAAGGTTCAGGAAGTTACAGAAATCGTTCATTCAGCGATTTAACCCGACCGCGAGAATAATCTTAATAGTAAAGGTTCTTATACCTGCAAAAAGTAAGGTTGCCTAATACGAAAAATAGCTGGGACTGTCAAAAAGCTTAGAAGGAACAAAAAAAAACTTTTTTACATGTTAAATCCTTTTCATCAAAAATAATATTTAATTGTGTACAATTTCGAAACGAAGTGCTTATACGAGTAGTTTTGACTAATTAGACATACTCATATAACTCCTCACATTTATTACAGTACTTTTTACTAGTCCCTGCAATTCAATTCAATAAAATTGCATCCTACAGAAACCCCAGCTGCCCCATGAGACAGCTGTAAATTGCTAAAAGTTCATTGAATACTAGTAGCCAATGTCCAATTGAAAAGATCAAGTGAAAATGACATGCAATCAGTCGTTCGCAAAATTGCCTCCCACAAGAAGGTGGCGACATTGAAAACAGCAAATGCTGCTGTACCAACACTCAACAGTCTCAGCCAACGGCAGTGTGCAGCAATAATTGAGTGACTTCAGTGGAAGCGCGAAGGCATGGGAATGCTGTTGAAGCGAATGAATATATATAAAAAAAAAATATTTATGCACACGCACATACGCACGAACCTGCGAACAACGGAAAGGCGAATGAATGAAAATGCACAAAATACACTCACTGCAATGAAAGCAAATAAATACATAAAATAAATAAATGAAAATGCGCTACTTTCCATTCCATCGAACCTTCGTGACTTTCAACTCGATTTCGCCATGTATGCATGTGTTTTCGGAGTATGTCTGTGAGCGCGTGCTTGTTTTCGTTGCAAATGAAAAAGTTTTATTTTTCACTTTGCTCCTGACCGTTTTGGTCATTTCGCAGAAAAGACACAGCAGCAAGTGCCGCACTTTGGAGTGTTATTATTATATGTTGGTTTTGTAGTTGCTACTTTCATTGCTGAAATTGCTATTCTATGAAATTGTATTTATACCTTGAACAGAATTGAATTATATTATATTAAGTTTGGCACGATGTTTGTAACACGGAGAAGGAAACATCGGAGACTCTATAAAGTGTATATAAATATATATGACCAGCGTGATGAGCTGAGCCGATTTAGCCATGTGTGTCTTTCTGTTCGTTCTTTTCTTATTTGTTGGAACCGCCGATATCAATACAGCATCGTTGTCATTCCCGAACATATTGTTAAAATCGGAGCACTATA